GCAAAATGTATGGCTTGTGTTTCGATCTGGGTCATAAATGTATTGGCAAGAACGGGAGAAATAGGACTGCCCATACTTAAATCATCTATTTGAAGGAAATGTTCGTTGTTGAAAATGAAGTTGGTTTTAGTTGTGTAAATTCTAAGAGAGAAGCAAAAAGTGTGCTGGGGATGTGGATTAACTTGTTGGGGTCATTAATGTGGAGGTCGAGTGCAATATTGCAAGCTTCATTGGCGGGGACTTCGATGAAGAGTGACACGACATCAAAAATAGCCATTAAGGCTTTCGAATTTATTTGGTCTAGTGTATATTTGAAATTGAAAGCATCTATAAAAAATGAACCTGCAGATGTTACATATAGTGTGAGAGCCCAGGATATGTATTTGACAAAATTGTAGTTGAAGGAATCATAAGTGGACAGTATAGGTCGTAGGGGGCAGTCCTGTTTATATTAAAGTTTTTCTTCATTACCTATTCAAGCATTAATCTCCTTACAATTGTTTGACCTACGAAATGTTATAAGTTATGTATTACAAAAATATTTTGTAGCTCATCAACGATAGCATTACTTCTTATAGATTTTTCCTATAGAGAACATTGCTGGGTCTTACTTCTTATAAACGTTTTTCTGTACAGAATATTGCATGATCTTACTCCTTATAAATGTTTTAAATCAATGGAACATTTCCTGTATGGAATATTGCATGGTCCTACCTCTTATAAACATTTATCTCTATAGAATATTTCTTACTCCCTACAAACTTCTTTCTGTATAGCATGTTGCTTTGCCTAACAACTTATAAAAATATTTTTTTTTTATAGACTATTGTTATGTAACCTATATAACATATTGCTTTGCCTAATCTCTTATGAAAGTTTATTTTTGTATAGGCTGTTACCTATTGAGAATTTGAAATAATCCAAAGCCGCGTTAAATAAATTAACTTTTAATAGTTGAAACGTACCCCTGGATTTAGTGTTTAGAAATATGCCGATATTTCATTTAATTTACGCTATTTACCAACAAGATTGATTCACACCGTTTTTGGTTTTGACACAAATAAGATTTAATATATATATATATATATACAACAGTGTAATCTACAATAGCAACTATTATGATTAATTATTATAAATCAAGTTTCATAAACAGAAATTTCACTAATTTACAAATAGTCTAAAATCGTCTTCCTAGTTCAAACTCTTTTTGATATCCAGCGAGTCGGCTTGAAGTCGATGTACATATAATTGGCG